TGAGGTTCTGTGGTCATATCGATGAGGACGGATGTTGTTTGGTCAATGCGTTCGATTTGTGTTTTCTCCCCACCGTCTCCTTCATGGACATGCAGAAGTTCCGCATGTTCCATGATATTTGTTTGCCCCAAACTAGCAACACTCCTAATGACTTCCGTTTTGTTCAGTCTCAACAACGGTGGACTCCATGTGGACGCGGTCGCCACCATGAGAGCACGTCGACCTGCAGGTCGTCCTGAGTCGCTCCTCACGTCATCTCCTCGTTCGACCTGCAGGACCTGCATGCGCATAGCTGCAAAATCACTTCGCCACCCGCTCCCAATGTGGTCGCCGAGGTGCCAAACCACGGTCGACCGGTCCTTCGCGCGCGCACGTGGGAACGTGGGAAGCGTACGGAGGGATGGATGGACCGGTCGCCGGGGCGTTGGATGATGGATGGGTTAAGTTATAAGGCAAGGTTGAAAGAATGAAGATCGCCAGAAAGATGATGTGTTGTCTTTTGATAGCCTAGACTAGACTCTCCAAAAGACCCTCCTAGACTCCTTGATTCTCGGACGCCTTGTTTGAAGAACCACTGATCGTCCCATCGCTGGGACCAAGAAGACCCCATCCGTGGAGACGTCCACGCTCTCCGCGTGCCGCTGCGGCTCCACGCGTTCGCGACCAGATCTCTCGGGGAGATGTGCCGATGCTCTTGTGGCATGGAGAGCAGGAGTGAATCGGAGTGAACAGCTAGCCCTGTAGCTGGTCGAGAGCCATGCGAAGTTGCGAAGGGGGTTCTGTTTCTGCGGAATTTCTTGGACGATACTATCTCAGACTCGACTTAGTGTTTAAGCTAATTGTAGCTGCTGTTTTGCAACCCAGGCATCGATAGTGCCATCAGTGTTTTCACCGGTGATGGGGTTTCCGGAATGATTCGGAATCAGAACTTGGAGCTTCTTCCCTCTTTGAATCAGTTGGGATGGTTGGCCGATTTGAAGATGCTTTTAGAATGCTTTAGAGAGAACGAGACTCCGTCGTTATGTTTGGTCCTGTCTTGGGTAGCTTGATGATGCTTGATCCGTTGAGACCGGTTGAGACGGAACACCTGCAAGCTGAAGGACCAAATCATCCCCCTGGACAATGCCCGCGCTCTTTGGAACAGAGCACAGGCCGGTTTCGGAGTTGTGCACAAACGCGGCTGGTTTCGGACTGTGCTGCGCCAGTCGCCGCCGGTGTCTCTTGGAGCTTCCACACCGATGTTCTTCTTCAGAGCTAAGGAGCTTTTTGGGGGATAGCTTAGCATCGAACTTTATTGGGGAGACGTCCTCCGCATCGGACGTCCAAGGGAGCTGAAAGACAGCCCATTGGTCTTGGGTAGGCCGTCTGGGGATGTTTGTTCAAGAGGAAGAGCCCAGAAGCCAAGGGTTGTGTGTTTATTTGTCCCTTTATGACTGAGGGTCTTTTGGGGAGTCTGTTTTTTACACTACTGTACCAAACTAGGTCAATCTTTTAATGGTCTCTGGGCGTTGGCGAGAGTCGGGATGACCGTACCCAACAACCACCGGAACGGGACTCTGAGAGATGACGGTTCCGCCTGTTCCGCCTGTTCCGAGGCCGTGCAAGTGCCCAGTTTGCTGATGGCCATCGCGGATGGTGGCCACGTACCCATGACCAAAGGTGCCACAGACGGATGGTCCGTCACGGATGTTGTGGTCGTGGATGTGGTCTTCTGAGAAAAAATGACTCAAAAAGGGATCCCTGAAGGGGGTCGTGGTAGTCTCTTGGAATCTCTTGGAATCACATGTTTGGGACCGGTGGAAGAGGGCCATCCCTGAAACCGAAACTGACTAAGACACAAAAAGTATAGCATGTACAGATGCTTGTGGGTATTGCGTATGGCTCCGTTGCAGACTCGGCCCAATCAGAGTGTTTTTTTTGCATCAGTATTTCTCTTGAACCATATTCCCAATCAGATCAGCTTATTAGCAGGGTCCCAGCTGATGTAGCAGGGTCTTCCACGGAATCTCTTTTCCGTGGATTCAGCTTCGAAGTCGCCTACAGCACAAAAACGGTCCCAAGGTTTGTTCCATGGGCGGTGGTTTCCTCATTTTTGGGAACAGGGAGGAGCTGGAGACTGAACGGGCTTCCCTTGGTATAAACTTAAAACAACACAAGAAGAAATACCAAATACTGCTCTTTGCTTTAACCCCAAAGCATGTCTTGTCCTACACTGAAACAAGCCTCCCCAGACTGGTGGATGCTTGAAGATTGTTTTCAGGATGCGAACTTCAATGTCTCGATTGTTTCAGGATGCTGAAGCTTCATGCGATAAGAAGATCTGTGATGGGCGAACCATGACGCAGGAACCGAAGCTCCGCGGAACCGCACGTCACAGGTCTGGATCCGTCGCTGCCGTATCTCTCGGCTTGGCTCAGTTTTGTCGGAGGTGGTCACCTCAGGAGAATTGCTCGGAGGTGCTATGTCTATTTGTTTGGGTCCCAGTACTAGTATATAATTGATGTAGATCCGACAGATTCGACAGATTAAGGTATTCCCAGAAGCTGAGTGACCCAGGCTTTGGGATCACCAAACTATGTTTTTTTTTTTCCAGGCAAAACTGCTGCCAGATGGCTTCAAAAGGCGTATTTATGAGATCATGGCAAGTCGGATCTTATCAGATTTTGCCGAGGTGTAGCAGTAGCAATCTGCATGTGCTTCACTGAGGTTCTTTGAATCTGACTGAAGCTCATTGTCCGCGACCTCAGGATAGACTGGGATATATAGACGTTTCGACTTTACTGAATCGATTCACTCTGCTTTCAACCATGTGACTGAGGCCCGATCGCACTGAAGAGCCTGAGACCCAGACACATCTTCATGTGATCACCCTGGGATGGACTAGAGAGGGATGCCTAGACTAGACGCCAAACAGTCCTTTCCTGGTCTAAACAGTCCTAGGATCAGTTCGACCCCACACCCCATGGTGGGTCCAGAGGAGGATCGGCGGGTCCAGGGGTACCCCCGTGGTGGGTCCCAGGGTCCGACCCTATGGTCTCCTGATTCGGTAGGGCGGCTCAATTGGTGACCTGGCTCGGATGCTGGGAGAGATCAGGGGATAGATGGGGTGGACAGGGCTCGTATACCCAGGTAATTCTCAGGTGATGGGGATAGTTTCCATCACCTTGTAGATCCAAGACCCCTCATGAACTATGGGCAGGACGGCTTCAGCTTGCCTCGATGGGCTTCCACACATCTGGTTGCGACACTGCCGTTTGGTACCCTTCACCTGGGACCCCACCGATGTCAAAGGCAACGCCGACCTGCGAGTTTTGGTGCTCCCGTGCTCCTAGGCAATGCCATCACTGAGCCCTTGCGGGCTATGTAAAGGCACCCGCGGTGCACATGCATCTTGCAAATGTATATAGGTAATGTAGACAATCAATAAACCTTGTTTCACTGTTCCATACAAGGAAGACCGGCAAAGATTGACCTGTCAACTTGAATGGAATTGCACTACTCAGTGCCATCTGAAGCCGGCACACAGGCATTTTGCTGCCGCGGTGCAGAGTGTACGATTTCTTGGCACAGCTGCACTAAAATGCAGTTTATTTCTATTTGCAGTGACCAGTAGCAAAGGAAAAAGAGGATCCAACATGCGCTCGGCATGTAGAAAAGGGCTTGTCACTTGCATTCGTTGGCACAACATGGCGCAACAAGAGGCAACTGTTTTTAGATACCGGATGTTAAGACATCTTTTTTCTCAGGTGAGTGGTTCCTCAACCCACCACCACCTCCTTTGAAGGCGCTTGCATTCTTCCATGAAGTCCGCGAAATGATCCGAACGGTGGTGTTTTGCCCGCGGTTGGCGACCGCGACCAAAGCGCCGACGACCATGGTGACCGGTGATCGGATCGGTCAGGCTGAAGATGTGGCCAAGCTCACGGGATTCGAAGACGACGAAAGGGATTCGAAGGCGCAGAAATCCACGGCGCGACGCTGCTGACGCGACGCTGCCGACGGATCCAAGAGTGCGCAGTGGGCTATGTGAGCCAACTGGATGTTCGTCGTGGCATCAGGCCTAGCATGTTCAACCTTTTCCAATGGTCCAAGGTCTCGGTCTGACCTAATGATTCAAAAGGCCGCGGCCTTGCCGTTTGCATGGCAAGCAAAAATGATTCAACAACGTGTTTGGTCCTTGCCATTGCGTTGATCATTGCATCTACTTTATTCTATTCCCCGCTCATCGTGGCAGCAACGATGAAACATATGAACATGGCTAATTGTGGTGATTCTGATGCCTGCTTTGACATGCCCCCATTTGAGCTTCGAATGACGCCGTCAGGCTTGACCAACCTGCGTCCTCAACGTGCACTGACTCCGAGTCCAAGCGGCTGGAACACACAGAGCTTCCAACCCGAAGGGACCTCCGACCGTAGTACTAGGACGCATTCTTGTTATAGTCGCGACGGCGAGGCCCCTAGTAGCGTCCAAGGCTCTCGAAAAAGACTTTAGTTGGAAAGCCCATTGGCCTCCAACTTCTTCGCCACGAGGTCGAGCCACAAGTTGTTCCAGGAGCAGCGAGCTGAGCGAGCTGCAAGGTTTGCCGTGCCCATCCGTGGTGAGGTCGATGGACCATGCTTTGCTCGACAAAAGAAACGCCAAGCTGATGGGGGGTGGCTTGGTTTTTGAGAGACACCCCAGTTCAACTTCCTGTGCACTGGTAGAATAATGTAGAATAGGGAGGCACCCCAAGCATTGGGCTGTAGATAGTTGAAGAGATTTGAAGAGTATTGAAGAGTCCATTTACCCTTCTGACCACAAGGTCGACCCAAAGGATCTCATCCCTATGCTCCGTCTTGATTGGAAAGCCAATCGAAAGCAGATGGGAACATGCAATGTAACTCAAAAATCATGAAAGAGCAGGTGTAGCTAAGCAGATCACCAGTGATGTGTCCTTTCTCAGATGCTCGATGTCCGGTTCATTATTGGACAGATTTGCTGTGCCGTGCCCTGCGCAGTTCGAAGTGAGAGTTCCTATAGCATGGCAGAGAAGCAGACGCGCAGTCAGCGCCCTGGTCTCCGAGTTGACCAAGTCACCAAGTCCGTCCTTTGTGACACCGAACCATTTTTTTGGCCAAACATCGAGTGACCATAGTGACCTGAGAGCGTCATTCTGACACCACCAAGGCCTTTTACGATATTCCACAAGGAGAGACAGGAACTGTGAGGTCCTAAGGTAGGTCAGCCTGCGAACTGCGGGATGAGTTGAAGACTTTTAGCTTTTAAGTCCATGGTGCCGCCCGAGCCGAGAAGCTCCTACGCGTCCGACTCGGCGCGCTCAGGTGGACCATCTCTCGCCCACGGCCAAGCAGGAAAAGAAAGGGACGCCGCTGCCCAGCTGGGCCAAGCACGGGGACCTCAGATGGGCTTCGACTCGGGGAACCGATCGGGTCGAAACGATCGGGTGGGTTCGACGCCGCAGAATCGGTCTGAGGAGCGATTTGGCACACTCGGGTGAGAAGGCCCTGACCGCGGGGGATTGGATTTGGACTAAAACCGTACCTGGATCCCTCCGCATGTCCTTGCATCGCGAGAAGGAGCCGGTATGTTTGCTTGTTTTTTGTGGTGTTTGTTACAGCAGACTGCATGAGAGTACCACTTCTGGCAGTCTATGACGAGCACATCCATGACTTCAGTCTCGCGCTGAGAGAGTCGAAAGGGCTGTGCTTAGAATTCAGAATAAGGAAAGAGCACCTGTCGACGCGGTCGCATCCGGTCGCCAATCCTTTCGAAGTCGATCCTGATGGTATCCAAAACATTATTCTTACTCCAGACATCTCAAGACATTGTTTTTCGGGGTCCCCCAGACCATCCCAGGCGACAGACTGTCTCCGTCAGACCGGCGAAAGACCGGCTGCGAAACAACACGTCCGATGGTACCAACGACATCCAACGATGGTACCTGCAGGTCTCCTTTCCGCGCATGGATTTCTTCGAGGAGCATCCCGAGTGGGGGAACCCATTGGGAACCCACCTCCACCCGTTTGTTGGGGCCGCGGGTCGATGTGGTGGTGTTGAACTGGGCGTCGCAACCGGACGGATGGGCGTTGTGAAGAGGAGGCATGGGTGCATACTGTGTTGCGAAGTAGGTCAGCCGTGCGGTCCAGAATCAAAGGCGTCAGGGCTGCGGGGACGGCTGCAGCATGTCATGTAGACTCTTGAGTATTTAACCCTACCGTACGAAGAGGTTGTTCAATCCAGATGGGGTGGTTCATGAATCACGAGTCTACATTAGGTGAACTTGGCCTACCGGACTGGACTAAGTGCCAATGACTGCCTTGTCAAGATGATTTAGAGAGAAGAGAATGTTGTGGCGATGTGTCTATATGTGTCTAATCAATCACAATAATGGTAGATGATAGATGATAATAGCAGCATATATATATATATTTTCATTGTTGATGATTGTTGACGACATTTGGTCAGATGTACTGTCAAATTGCTGTCCCTACATTGCAATAGACTTCATCATTCCATCTTTTGACATGACCGTCTTGTTTTCAGAAGACTGCCTGGCTTCACATGCCAATTGCAATTTCAGTGCTTGGTTGATGTACTGAGGCGCTCTCCGTTGTCCCGTTTTGGCGATTTGAACATCATGAATGCCAATCCCTTTTCAGGCGCTGCTGGAGGCCATCGCTATTAGGTTGGAGGCCATCGCTACTGTCGGTTTTCAGGCCGTGCTCGGGCCGTGGCACACTTCGAGCTTCCACCAAGGTGAAGCGAGGTATCGAATGGCTCGGACCTTACCCAGCTGGGCACAGGCAAAAGAAGGGAGAGGGTTGGGGCCGTGATGTTTTTTCGTGCAAATCAAGGGGTGGTGTTGAAGAACTTACCTCAGTTGTACAACAAGAAATTGGATTGTTCATGCTGTGTTGTTTGGCGTATGTAATTATGGCTTTTATCAATCCAGAGTCTAGAATGGCTGCGGATGTCCCAATTTCGGCTGTTGGATTGGAGTTCCTTCAATGTGACCGATCCTGACCTAGTCCTGCAAAAACACTCGGGAAGAGTCTCCAAAATCTAAGCCTCACGACTCGCGCTCGACAGGCGGGTTCAATGTCCCAGTCTCGCGGTCAGATGCCAGCGCACGATCCTTAGCAAGTTGTTCGCCTATTTCGGCAAGGGAGTTGGAGAGCACCACTCTTGACCTGCCATCAAGGACCTCCAGCTCGGGCTTTTCTGCAGAATCCAAAAGCAAGAAGGAGCACAGAGAAACATGTTCTTCATCAAGTGATTTGTAATTACACCGGCTATCGCCAGGACACACGAGAAGGCCATGGGACCTGGTGTTTTTGCGGTGGCTTCAACTCGCGTCTCAGATCGAGTTGCCGCGGCGAAGATGAGAGTTGTGATTGCCACAAAGACCGAGTTGTGAACTTGTTTTTCAGGAAAAATGCAGAGAAGAAGATGTGACCCCTTGTCACATCCCCCAACATCTTCCAGAACATGAGTAATTATAATCCAGAAGTTCCAGAATATGGGTGTTGGCAGGTCATGAGAAAAAAAAATAAACTAAATGAAACTAGTCCTCAGATCCTCCATTTTCAGCACCACCCCCCGTTTCGAACGGCTGGATCATTCCATCCATTTCGAAAAGGCTGGTCCTGGTCCCCGTCCACCACCCCAGGTCCTTCGTGGGGCTTTTGGCTCAAGTCAGGCCTGGCCGTTCGACGAGCTTCGACTCGTTGAGCTTCAACAAGCTTCGTCCACGTCCACGGAACATGTGGCTTGTTGTGACGACATGTGACATACCATGTTTGGAATCCAACTTGTGAATGCACAAATTTCGGGGCGGGCGGACGTGTAATCATTGCAAAAGCAATATGAATATGTTTTTGTGAAAAGGTCATAATGAAATACTGTGTGCACTGCGATCATTTTGTGAAGTATGTGTGATTGTTTTTGGGCTTTTACTTGCCATAACTAAAGGTAAGTTTGTTGTCAAACAGGTTTGGCAACAGGACAAGGACAGCCGCATTTATTTCACAAACTTGATTGACAAACAGTGTCACAATGTTTTTTGCAAACAATATCATGAATTTCCAACGCTTTCTGGAAATTAACGACTCAACCCTAAGCATCATTGGACCCTCCTATGCAGGGTCCTCTGACCCTCACAGGGTTTGGGGGTTTGGACCTGAAGCAAACCTGGAGCCTTTGCGGGGTCTGACCTAAGTCCTTCTCAGGCAGGCCTCGAAACCCAAACACCTTCTAAGAAGGTATCCGGGAGCCCTTGGGTATACATATTGTATATATACACCGTATATTCATGTAATACTATAGTATATATGGTTAGGGTCTATCCTAAAACCTAACAGTCGGTAAACACGAAGATCACTCTTTCAGGGAAAGGCCTGCAACTGAACCGGGAGCAGAAATACTTACTTGTGGGACGGACCCAACATTTATGCATGGTTATCATCCCCACTTTCCATGTCGAGTGCAGAGATCATCTACAAGAGGAACATTAAAAAAGATGGGCTATATTATGGTGCTGTGATGTGATATGAGAGGCCCCACAATTCACTGGACTTGTCCTTCGTCTTTTTTCACACGCTCACACTAACCTTGCTAAGCAGGCCCTCTAAAAACCTGAGGACCCATCTAAAAAGGAGAAGTTCTCCGAAGCCGAGCTGACATGGCCCCCATCGATGGCCCATCATGGCTCATCCTGTGGGTTCTTCGTTCCTTCGTGACATCCGACTCAGCGAGCCGGTTTCTCGCCGTTTCAGGGTCGACGCTGCGCGAGACGAGCCGCTCCAGTCGGTCTTTGCGCTCCAAGTCTAGCCGAGGAGCGGAGGAAGGGTGGAAGGAGGGCCTGTAGGAGGTGCTGGGAAGCTGGGGCCAAAATTGAGCACAACAACAACAACAAGATCCGTTCTGTCCAAGTGAAAGCACAATTCTTCTATGATTCTGATGTCCAAGCCGTTTCCCAATCTTTAACATGGCGGGAGGCTTTGAAGACTTTGCTCGTTCTTTTGCAAGGTTCGCGGAGAGCATCCCAGGGAGCCTCCACTGTCATGGCGCAGAATCCTCTTTTAGACGTAGGCCCAAAACTGGTGGTAGCTAGGCCTTCAATGTTGACCAACGCATCTGGATGAAGTGGTCTGTGGGTATATGTCATGGGTATCTCGTGAAATAAATTACCCACCAAGGCATCACTAGTGGGTGTTCAGCCACTTCTTTTGTATTGAAGAGTGTCCGATGTCCGACTGTGGTTTTGACCGATCCCGATATGTGTCACAGAGAATCCTCAATTCTATCCACACGACTTGGCAATCTGGAGGATTTGCTGCTTTAGCTGGCGCGCCAGATCTGCATGAAACTGAGTGGGTCAATGCAGGTGCCCAAAACAGAAAACTAGGCCTGTAGGCGTCCAAGAGGCTTCAAGATGTTTCAATCTGAAAGGACCTGTAGTTATATTATAATCTGAGATTGAGTTTGACTGATATGATATGAGCTAGGCTCAAAATTGGCGAACGTGACGAACATTTTGTCAGTGAGTGGTCATGGGATTTCAACATGCACGTTTTGCTCGAACAACGGTAACACACGTACTAAAAGATCACGTGACGGGACGTGAAAAGACAATAAAACAGTGACCAGATCCTGATGACTTGCACTTCCACTGATTCTGATATTAGATGTTCAATCTTTGACTCTACAGAAGTCTGAGCCTCTATATGCTGTAATTACCACAAAATGATCAATGCCGTTTCTAGGTCGCACCGATCCAAATCCTTCCCTGTATCGTCTTGATCAGGTTTTACAAGCAGCTCTTGGACGTGGAACACCCTGCGTGGGGGCACCTGAACACCCCAGTTGAACACCCTATACGCCCTACGCATCATTTGCTCGCAACCAACAGCCGCTCCTTCACACATGTCACACTTCCATTGGGGCTTTTTTCGGGAGCGGAGTTTCACACCTGCCTCTCCTTTGCAAAATCACTGGTAAAGCTTCCCTTCGTTGCGAAGCTTTGGTCATCCACCTGTCTTCGGGTCGAAAAGGTATGGTGCTGGCAGACCATCTGCCTGGCCACTTGGGCATGAGATGGAGTGCCCAAAAGCGAAGACATAGAGAGAGAGAGAGAGAGAGATAGAGGAAAAACAGAGGAATTGCAGTTATAATCTTTCTAAGATCTATTATGTGATATAGTAGACAAGATCCACACGTACCTATAAATTATAGATTTCAAGCGGTTTGGATGCAATCACACCTGGTGTCAGGTGTTTTCCTCCCAAGATGTGTCCATTTCCCCACCAATCCTCCTCCATCCCAAGCTCCCAACAATAGATGCCCAGCTTCTCCACTCCTCCTCCTCTCGTTACCGAAAAGACTCCCCAGCTGCCGCTCCTCTCGTGCCCAGCTTCGCCAGGTACGAATGCCGCCTGGGAGACATGATCCTTTGTAGCAAGGTCCGCGAGGCCTACGAGGCGATTAGAGTGATTAGAGAGACGCAAAGAGACGCAACGGATGGAAGAAACTACTAGCAGCTCCTGGCATTACTACTAATAACAAATAGCTACTAGTAACAAAGGGAATCGCTACTAGGAGCAAGGACGCTACAACGACTGGAAACGACGGAAGCAGGTGGAACAAACAACGGACACGTCGCTGATCAACCCGGGGGTAGGAGTGATCTCTACGCATTTCTCGTGGGGGGATGGAAAGAATATGTCATATGTCTTAATATGTCATATGTCTTAATATGTCATATGTCTTATGTCATACGACTGGACAGAATATGTCATATGTCTTTAATATATGTCTTGATGATTATACAGTAGCGGGCTTTTCTGTTCAGGTGCTACCGTGTGTCTACCTGACTGGGAAGCGAAAGGGGACTCATGAAGAGAGGTTCGATGGGTCGACCCATCCGGAAGGGTGAACAAATCGCCTCAAAAAACGGTCGGCTGACATCATCGATGACCACAGCCCCGGCGCCGGCCGTTTTTGGAGGTGGGTTTTCGGGGCCAGAAGCGTGACAAGCCGACGGTCATGGAGCAACTGCTGGGAGGAACAGGCTGGGGCATTCAGTTCAATGACAGGAGGAACTGCGGAGTTTGAAGAAGGGGAGGATGGAGGGACCTTGTGGGTCAAGAAGAAGTGCATCACATAGATCCTTAACATTCCTTAACTAAATATATATATATATACACACACTGTAGAAAAGGTGATCTATTAGGGTCATGACATGACCCCATTTTTGAGCCGTAGCTTCATGGATGCAGCCAGACTCCAGAGCTGTGATTTGCTGATGATTCCCTTATAGGTAGCCAATAAAGGGCACAGCAGCTGAGCAACAAGTTTTTCACTATGTCCGCTGCAGTGTTTTCTCACTTGATGTGTGTTTTTTTAAATATCAATATATGTTGTATCATATTAATCCAATCAAACCCGTCACCGTCCATGGTCATATAGACTCCTTTTTGCCTCCGGGCTATAGCTGCTTGTTGTGATCCTCGGAGCACACATGGCGCTCCTTCTCGAGCGCCTTTCTCCGCACGCTCCGCCCTGCGGCCTGCGGCAGGGGATGCCTTGCGTGTGCGAACGATTGCCAAAGTCGAGCAGGTAGGATCTCGCAGAGCGGATTTGGGGTTTGGGGAGGATGGCAAGCACAGTCAGTCGTTAGAAGTGATGGAATGACAGTCCGTAGCCCGAGATCATCCGATATATCCGATGAATTGTTGGGGTTCACAATTAACCCTGAGCTTGTTCAATCTGATTAACAATTGGTCGGAGTCCTTTAGGCTTTGCCAAATCCCATTTGCTGCGCAGCCCGGGTGAAAGAAGGGGTCTAGGCTCCATCTCGTTACTCCCGAAGCTGTAGCCATTTCGATGACAAGCCCAGCCCAGCCGAAGGTTTTGGACTCCTAAATTGAGCCATTCAGGGGTATTCAGCTTGGCCCCGATTTGATGGTGTTGTTCTTTACCTATACTATACAGCAGAAGAAACATCACAACAGCCGGTCACGGTGGGTACACCGCAGGGCACGAAATCCCACCCTTCATCATCCTTCATCCCTAGGAAGCCGCTCCCCTTCACTCTGCGCGAAAAGGTGAGTTGCGACAACTGCGGAGTGCATTTGGCGGATGCTGATAAGCCAGGAGCGATGCATTCGGTTTCCAACGGTTCGACCGCCCTATGGCGCCGACCGCCCCACCACATGGGAACCGAACGAGAGCTTCGCGACGAAGCGAACGAGCTCTGTGATAGGGGGGAAGCATGGTGAATCTGCACGAATCTGCACGGTCCTGGGAGATCTGTCCCTATCTCACGATAGATTTTCAATGCTTTTCAGGATGGAATAGTACTGCGCGTGTGTGTGATTGTGTGTGTGTGACTCTGGGCAGTGTCTTTTCACCATTTCACTATCTCGGGCAGTGACTCCGACGTTTTTCGGGTGGGCACTTTTGAAGCGTCCAACCTTCTCTACAGGGACTTGGATCCCTGGTCCCTGGGCCTTGTTTTGGTGGCTGTTGTCGCCCCTCAGGAGGTCGCTTCTTCTACTACTGCAGGCAGTGCAAGAGAAGTGGCCGAAGGCAGTGACTGTTTGCCTTTTGCATCGTCCGCCGAATCGTCCGCCATGGTTGGACCAGTTTGTGAGGGCGCCGAACCCAGGCGCCCCCGGGCACTCCGCCAGGTTTGAGCTTTGCGTGGCCTGCCACGTCTTGGAGATCCTGCAAGGAGAAGGCGACCGGATGTAGTGGGTACCTTCGACCAATGGTCGAAACATGTCACAAACAAAAAACAATGACGTGGTCAACATCCAAGGGTTCTTGAACGATCTACCCTACGCTACTGAGAGAGCTCCATTCAAACACTTTGGATGGTCAATATAATATACCTATAGCCTATAGTAAATTACAGTAGTATTCTTGATTTCTGGCGAAAGTGAAAGTGAAAGACCGCAGCGAAAGACCAATAATAGATGGAACCATGATGCAAGTTTGTGGAGTCCTGGAGGAAAATATAGCGGCAATGGCTTCCATCCTCACTACCTGAAATGTCAGCTTGGCCCTCAGCATATGCCTTGCCCCGTGGATTTGGAGCCAACATAATGGAATTCCATCATTGACTCAGACTTGTCCATGCTTTTCCCCCTATACTGATATACCTACTGAATGCACTGTCTGTCATTGACAAAAACATGCTTTGCCTTCGCTGACTGCACAAGGCACCGCTCGTTGATCCGACGTCAAAGCCTTGAGAATGCATACCCCAGCCTGGGAGCCCAAAAGATCGGACATCAATTTGACACATTCCATTTGCCGAAGAGGACGTCATGCCGGATGGCATCCAATCAGAGCAGCATCCAACCATGAACATCAAATATTTAAAGTAGTCAATTGGGCACCAAGCTTTGCATGTTCTTTTTGGATAAGTGTGTTTTTCCATGTGTTTTTTTTTTCAGTGAGGCTCCCCTCATCTTCACCGAGTCCTTTGTGATTTGTGTGGCTCCGTCGTCGTCGGACGAGGCATGAATAGTCTTGGGGGGGCCCTGGGCACGGAGGAAAACCCCACGCGCTTTGATTCGGTTGGGCTGTCTAGGGGACCTTGACTTCATTTTTCACGCGGCGGAAATGCCCGTCAGGCGCTTCAGACAAGAGCAGCAAGAAAGAAGGCAGCGTTAGATGCGGGAAGATGGGCACTGTATATGTGCAACACCCAGACAATTCATGGGACCGCCATATATACCGCCCCATTGATCCCCAAACCCAATGTAGGCATAATAATATATGGCATACATGGAGTGCCTGCTTTTCATCGACTAAGTGGTCCTGTATCCATCGACAATTGAACTGGTCTTGACCCAAAAGTCTTTTGGTGCTCCATGGCTGCTCTTCCCAGGACCTGAAAAGAAAGGCCAGGAGCCAGAGCCTCGGGACTTTGTAAGGCTTTCCCAAATGATGCACGAGCAGCTGCATCCCCCCAAAAACAACATCCACTCCAGCTAAGAATCGGCTGAAGGGCTTGAAAGGGTACTGTCAAGGAGAAATGCCTGAAGCATACTGAAGCCAGTTTAGGGAGCTCCAGTACTCCAGATGGACCAGCTCCAGTACTCCAACGGACCGAAGATCAGACATTTCGCTCCAGATCCGATGGTGGTCAACACGTGTTGCGTTGCTTCGCGAGCTTAGCTAAGGCTGAAGGGAAATCCGCACAAGCCACTTGGTTTCACATGGAGAACCATTCGCCTCCCTATCAAACCCCACCGCTGTGAGGCTGATTGTGGTGCTTCCTTGCTCTGGCCAGCTTTGGATCATGTTAGTTCAATTCTTGTCAATTACTTTCACAAAATGTTGAATTCAACTTGACTGTTTTTGCCAAAGTCTTCATAAGCAATGATGGGTTTCCAATGGTTTCCGCTGAAATCGATGTCTTACATCAGCTGATAAGCTCACACAGGTATACAGTATACAAAATGATACACCGGACCGGGGATGCCAAACTTCCATGGACTCCGATACTTTCGCCATGTGCTTTGAGTGGATTGGGTCCATTTGCTGAACACCGCTTCCTGAAACATGCCCGAGGAAGACCTACATCGTCTCGAACGAGGCAGGAGATGATGGTGCTTTTTGCAATTAATGCAGACATCAGCTGTTTTAAGGTGAAGTGAGGATGTTCATGGTTGAAATGGATGCTTTTGTTTGTGTTGTTGCTGGTTTTCGCAGATTGCATCACTGTAAGACACCAAGACTGAATATTATAGACATGATAACACTCGACTATCCAACCGTGTTTGATCTGATGATTCACGATCACGTCTGCTTGTGGGAAACTCTCTTGCCATGCCCTGGATGTCTGCCATTTTTCCCCCGCCCTCGCAGTTCTACGCATGTCCAACGTGTCCAGAGCAGACGGGGCTACGTTTCGAGCTGTGCGTGCCCTGCCAGAAGCAAATCTCGGAGAGCTCGGATCCTCAGCATCCTCAGCCCAGGAGTGCTCCCAATTTCTTTGGTCCTCTCATTATTTTCCATAGGACTTGGCCATACTTGGCCTATTACAGGTTGTTGTTGTTTGTTTGTTTGTTTGTTTTAATGGGATAGATAGAAGGGAATAATTACATAGCAATCCCGGTATATATGTTTCCATATGCTTCCCATTTCTTTGGTCGGCCCCTGTGTTCTTGGAACCCTGTGTCTATGGAAAGGGGTGTTTTTTCCACATGACATATGCCACGGCCGACCACCTCGTCGGAACCAGGTGTTTTTTTCTTGCTTGATCTTCCTTTGGAATCAGTACTGTAAGGAGCTTGGAATTGGACGATGTGTTGGCCTAAAGGTCGGATCCCGAACACCAGGAGTGCCCGGAACACCTCGGTCGGATTCCCCCAACCACCCATCCTCCTGCGCGCAACCAGGCGGCCATGGAGTCCAGAAGCTGGAATCCACTCTCTGAGCGCTTTCGCGTGCCCTGAAGTGGGCCCGGAGATCCATGGAATCCATCAGTGCAGTGCAGTGGTACAACTAGCAGTTAGAACCCCCCTTCGTAGCGATGCCCTGACCTGCTCCGTTCGTAGCAGCCTTGTTCCTAGTCGCGATGCCAGGAGCCCCTAGTAGCGTCCTTGCTCCTAGAAGAACCTTAGCTTTTGAAGATGTCATATTGACGCTGGAGACTCAACTCAAACATCAGTACCTTGCCCACAGAGGACGAGGCATTCCATCTTCCACTTTGTAGTGCAAGTTTTGCCCAGGATGAGAGGGTGACCACTTTGCTTTGCAGAGACTTGCCCCTAAAGGGCAAGCATCGAAGTGTCAGCAAGCATCGAACATGGCGCGCTTGAGACGACATGTTTTGCCACATGGATGGATGGAACATGACCTTTCCAACGCACACGAAGACACGATGCAAAAACCACACGGGCGAGACAGGTCTTCACCATCCATCGGCATGGGCCGGGCATCGCCAGAGGGTCGGGGTGGACCGGATGGTCGGGGTGGACCCACCACCACGGCTGTCGTTCGCGTCTGGAAACGGCCGTTCATTGAGGGCATTTGGATGCCTTTGGCCCGCTACTTTAGGTCCGGGGTTGGCCAAATGAATGCCAAATGAGAACATGTATGAACATGTTGTGACCTTAATCCCTTTGGACCTACTTTTGGACCGTCCATTTTCGCCTCAATCTTTTGGGTGGAACCCGCGACCGATGACCGGCGGTTGGGCGAGAACCGCGCGGCAGCGAGGTCATAACAAGGTGGTCGCAGCAGCGAGCAGCGACTCAGCAACCAGGTCCGGCTGATGATGTCATGGGACCTGTGCAACTGATTTCATGGGACCTTTGCAGCTGATGGGACCTTTGCAGCTGATGATCAACGAAGGGGTGGCACACTTCCTTTTTGTTCGGATGCCAACATGGGCCTTGTCAGACTCGAGCTCGCGTCGAGCGATGTTTTGTTGGATGCCATGGATACATTTGTGACAATAGGCATGCAGGTTCTATTTAGCAATCAGGATCGATGCAACGAAATAGATTATATAATATATATTACTATATTTATTCCATGTTATCCCTATCACTCTTCTACTATATCAATGTGTGCTGCACACGCAGCTTTCCAGCTTCTGATGTGTCTCTTTTTGTGAACATGCCCTTTGGGTAGCGCTGTTCTGGAGGCTTCAGCGGGACAGCAGCATGCCTCTTTTGAGACGCAGCTTTTGTTGAAATTCTCAAGCACAAAGACTGCTTCTGGGTGCAGGAACTCCTGCCAATGAAATCCAATGCTCGAATCACAAATGCGACCAAAACACAATAAATAAATCTTTGCGCGCTTTGCATTTTGAGCCGATCTTGTGCCGTGTTCCGGAGCAGCTTTCCCGATGTTTTCGTGCCAGCCAAGTTATATGTATCTTGCACCAAAGGTAAAATGCTGCTCGCTAGTTCAGTGAATTGAGGTGTAGATTGAGGTAGTATATGGTAGTATAAGGTATACAGTGTACAGTATACAGTTGAGAAAAATCAGTCGATTAATGGAGATCTGAGTTTCTCAGTTTCAACTTTTTTTCCAAAAAGAATCTGTCCTGTCACATCGGAAATCAGAGAACAAGTTTAAGAACAGTGTATTTGATGGCCATATTGGGCATAAATCCCACAGATTTGATGGCCAATGGGTGCCTGTTCTTTGGGCAGTCTCTGCGCCGCTGATGTGAGTAGAGTAGCGTTTCTTTGTGTGAGATGATGGAAAGAAGATGAGTGAACTCCTTCATTGCTGCGTAGACTGTTTACTTGATACTGGTGGCTTGGCGTAGGCTTGCGTAGGCTGTAGGTGGAGACACTTACACAACTGATTTGCGTAGGGTTGGTGCAACTGAGCAGAAGCAAAACAAGTCTTTGCCGTTTGCCATTTGCGCGCATAGGCATCTCTGCGTAGGCTCCACCTACAGAAAAGTTCATAGGCAACCTTCTGCATGGTGAGTGTAGGCTACACGAGGCTCGTCCGTAGAATCCTTTGTAGTGTATAAGCTCCAAACACCCCGCCCCCCAACAAAAACAGCAACGATATACACATTTGGGGAAGTCCCACCCGACCAATAGACTGCAGGCGTTTGAATTATCATGCTCTCGCTGTATTTGATGGCCATGAACATAACCTGCATGTCGAGGATGCACTTCTGTAGACATATTCAAGAATATGTGTTTGGCTTTGCCCTGGGTATAAAGGCCTTGTAATGCCTGTACACGTATTGGTCAGAAGTGAAGTTATTGACGGTGTAGTATGCGTGAATTGCGGGATATGACTGTGTGTATAATCCTTTTCAGGCTGAGAAATTGATTATGTAACAAACAGCAGGCAGTTCGTTTCACACTCAACACACCCAGCCACGAGCCTGTATTCCAAGAAGGGGTATTTATTATAATATACATAGAGTCCAGGAAGTTGGAAAAATCACTTGTAAGCAGCAGGACCATGTATCAAGACTTAAAATCATATGAATTGAATGATGTCAGTCTACAGCGAGGCTGACCGTCTTTCAGAGCTGCACGTCTACATCCTTCTGAAAGATGTAGACCCGAGTCGTTTTCACGGGACTTCAAACGCCAGTGCAACTGCAAGGATCGGAACCTGTTGGGAAAGCATCCCGTGCAATCGCCCCGAAATCGGACCAGATGCACTTCGTTTTTTCAGGTACAGTACCTGTATTTACGTTCACCTCTGAAACCACAAACATGTCATACAAATGTTGGGGGCTTCACATCCCAGGTCCACTCCCCTGTGCGACAAGAGGTGAGATGATGTGAAGAGGTGAGATGAAGGTTCATATCGGTGCTGGTGATGTGGTCTGGTCTGTGTTGAGTTGCGGTGTATACATTCTTGTGGTGTATACATTCTGGAAGCACCACAAACATGTATACCCCACAACAATGTAGCTGATATTGATGTTTTTGATGATGTGCAACCAATGGTGATGTGGTTTTCGTGTGTATCGGGACGTGTCGATTCTTTGACTCTGGGAAGCTTAAGGCTTAAACATTCTTAAGCTTGGACTTTTGCAGATCCCAAGACAAAACATGGTTTGGTGGTTCCAAGCCCCAAGCTTCGATTCAAAAGACGGACTGTGGCGCAGACAAACAGAGCTATGGACGCCAGAAAGCAGTGAGAGTGGGTAGCAGAAGATGCAGAGGGCCATCTTCACGAAGACGGGGAAAATCTGGTCTGACGCAAGTGTTATTACCTCTGAGAAGTCGCATTGCGACTTCCTATTGAAGGCTTGGGATTCCTTTGCATGACTGGTAGCACAGCGATTCAAGGTAGACTTTGATTGCACGGTGCTTCGAGCTCTTCTGCGCCGCTTCGCCCTGCCGATGTTTCTGAGTGACCTTCTGTGCCGTTTTTTTGCCGCAGCTGGACGATGTAAACACAGCTGTAGCATGATGCAGCATTGCAGTGACGATGTAACACGTACTCTCCCGCAAACTAACATGGAAATACCCGGTCGAAGACCATTTCCCTCTACAACCCAGTGGTTTTAGGGGTTCCATGTGGTCCGAATAGCAGGGGAGCAGCAAGCATCACCATGCGTCTCCATGCGTCCATGTGGTGCCGACTGCGTCTGACCTGCCGAAGCGTCGCTTGCTTCGGCGGACCGATCGGAAGCGACCGATGCTTTCGGCATCCATGACTTCCCCAGCTTGCCATGCTCATTGTGGGCCAGCTGAGCAATCGTTGGGATAATGTTTGATCTGGTATTTCATTTGGTGTCATCGGTGTTTTTGTTTCCTTTTCGTTGGATGTTGGCCCGCCTGACCGTGTGTTGACCGGCCGTGTGAGCCGCCTTTTCGGCGCGGCGGCTCGCGGTAAAGCGGTGCAATCTGTGAAGGCGACCTCAGAATGTGCAGGTGTCAGAAACCACGTTACCAATTGATGCGCATTTCTGCGCAACCAATGGCAACGTCACCAATGAACCACCTTGGGGCATCGAAAACAGCACTCGATCTGGTCATCCACATCACAGATGAGCTCACTTCATTTCACCACAATCCACCTCCTCACACACACACACACACACACCTCGTCATGATGGAATTTTACCAGCAACTACTTCAGATATCATCAGATCATCAAACCTTTAATCATCACATTACCAATCACAAGACAATAGGACACATCCAAGCACTTGACTACAACCTTCCACCAGAAGGAGACCTCCTCACACAGGCATCCTCCGACACCATTCTCACGGCTTTCTGCGACGGCAGTGACGAAGATGGTTGGGCCTCATCAGTGGCTTCCTTCGAGCCAACATCGCCTTGGCAATGGAAGCCCTCATTGGCCTCATTGGCTGGCAGCTCGCTAGAAAGGCCCTAGTGGCGTCTAGCGGCCCTATCCCGAGTTTCCTTGCTGGCCAACTATGTTGGCCAAGAAAGCGCTTCCCCAGCATTCACAACATGGTCAGAGGAGAAGACTATTCAGCTTGATCCACTTAACGTGGAAGTGTACAAGAACAGGCAGCAGAGGTTTCTTCCAGGACAGATCCGTCAAATTTGCGTCTCTATGCACATGCCAGACAACACCGTTGCCGAGAAGTCCATCAATGAGCGACATGGATGATTCGCTGTCGAGAAAAGGGAGAACAACGCTACTGGGGCCTCGCTTCAAGTCGTATCAACTGGAACAAAGTCGTATCAAGATGGTATGCCCTTGGGCATTGAGTTATCTATGTTTATAGCCATGTTTATGTGTGTTTATTGTTGCTATATACTTGTGATGTAAACTGATGTTAATGTGCTGTGCCCATGCGGTGCTTGCTTGTGTGACAAATTCAACAACCTTTGTTGCATCGGTTTTCGAAATCAGTGATAGCAGGATCCTTGGTGCAAAGGTACTGTTTAGCACTAGATGTCAGCGGAACATTGTGGTGGGTCATTGGATGTATATAATTAGATTGTAAATTGCAGTTGCTTTGGGAAGAGGGAGCATTGATTGAACAGGCAAGGGTTTGGCCAACAGTATTCTTTGTAAATTCTTGTTTGGGCGTCGCCACGCCATTGGGGGTTACATGTTTTGATGGGACTTCTTTCCACCTGTTGTGACTTCCTTACAATGCGGTGTGTCATGCATGTGATGTGACTTTTCGCCTGCTGATGTGACTTGACCTCAGCGCTTGTAGCCGCTGTCATGCGTCAGGGCAAGCGCCAATGCAAGCACTGTCAATATGTGTACAGATCTTATGGTTACGTGCCTTGAGGCACAGTATGTTCTTTTTCCAAGTGATCTTTGGATCAGTGGATATGATATATTTCAAGCGTCAGAAGGTATATGACTGTGGCTAAGCCTTCTGAGTCGGATGAACACGATATGCCTGTGACAGTTACAGTAGAGGGGGAAGAGAGAACGAGAGAGAGAGGGAGAGAGAAGAAAAAGGACAGAAAGCAAGGAAGAAAGAACGACAGGCAGACAGAGCGAGAGAGGGAGAGAGATAGCAAAGATGAACTGACTCACCAGGCAATGTCAGATATGATATGATTCGTTATTCCAGACAGCTGTTGTTCTCAGTTGTTATGTTTTTGTTTTGCTATGTTTGTAACCAATTCATCCGCGTGTTTTTGGCATTTGGCACAGCCGAAGTTAGACGAATGTTGTCATCATTATCGTTTGTACCCGTGTGTCTTTCCAAAGGTGAAGTGGTCGCAGAACAAGCCACAAACAATTTAAACAAACATACATTTGATGCAGCCAGTATGAAACTATAGTAGTCAGAAAGTTGTCAAGAACAGCATTGTACATCCAGAAGCTTGTGCACAAATTGATGAATGTCCTGGAGACATCGACGCGTGTGCATTTCTGTCTGGCGTTGTCAACATCAAGTTCTTTTTGTTATCTGAGTTTAAGATCTATACTGTCTTTACTACCCCGAAATTATCTAGTCTAAGACCTGTATCAAGCAGCTAAGACTAAATTGTTTGATGTGATATTCCTTCATGGCCATGTATGTCTTGGGTGCCGGTTCCTTGGGCTGTCTTTGGGCCGCCCACTTGGCCAAGTCCGCTGCGTGCCACCCGACGCTGCTGCTGCGTGCGGGATCTGCGAAGCTCCGACATCTGAAGGATGGTAGGGTGCGCTTGAGGGTGATCCGAGCTGAACGCGTCCTCGAGGTTGAGGCGAGTTGTTGCTTGTGGCTAGTTGCAAAGCTAGTTGCAAAGCTGAAGGGTGCTGAAGCAAGGGTTGGGTGGCTTTGGATTGATTTGGTTTGGTTTTAGAACAAAAGGGCTGAAAGAACCAGAGCTCCCCAAAAAGGGTTTGGTTTTGGTTTGTGGGTCATACTGGTGCATGAGGCTGCCTGAGGATTTTTTTGGGGTGAAACGAGTATGTATATGACTCATTGACTTCGGTGTTTCGATTGGTTGTTTTATCCTTGGGCCACCAGCACATCCGTCGCCTCATACCGATCTGACTATAGCGGTGTCGACTTTCAGAGCTCTAGAGGGTACTGCACCTCCCTGCCCCAAACATGGAAGTGGACCCCCCTCCATTTGTAGAGGAACATGTTGTTTTTCCATGTTTTTCCAGGGGGCCATGCCATCCACCCACCCATGAGGACGTTGGAGAGAGGGTTTCCGTCTCCCGCCCTGGGAACGGCAGGAGGTTCGGGGGGCAGAGCCTGCCAGGTCGGAGCAGAGGAAGTGAACCGGTCCCCAGCGACCTCCGACATCCATCAGCTGCTACTGGTCACGAAGGCACCTGCAGCCAGAGAGGCCTTGTTGCAAGTGGCGCCCAGACTCGCCGCAGGTGCGGTGGTGATCATCTTATGCAACGGAGCCCTGGCACTGCATGAGGAGATCAGCGAGATGCCCGCGAGTCAACGCTGGCATTTGATGTGTGGACTCACCACACATGGAGCCTGGTCCAAAGCAGACTTCGAAGTGGTCCACGCCGGAGCGGGCGACACGATCTTCGGCCAATATGGCGCCGTCCGCATGTCGGAGGAAACATATGAGTCCACCTTGGCGCAGTTGCTGGCTGCAGGCCTGGGCGGACGTCATGAGGCGCACATTGAGCGATCTCTTTGGTTGAAGCTGGCAGCCAATGCTGCCATCAACCCTTTGACTGCATTGTTGGAAAAAAACAATGGCTGCATTCTAGAGGAGGAGCAAATCAGCAGGTGCAAAGAGATTTGCAAAGAGGTTGCAGCTGTTGCCGCTGCATCTTGGCATCAGCAAGGCTTTGCAAGTCTTTGCCCATCGGCCGCTGAAATGGAAGACTTTGCCCTGGACACGGCCAGGCGAACTAGCCCAAATCGCTCCTCCATGTTGCAGGACGTTCTCGCTGAGCGGCCCACCGAAATCGATTATTTGAATGGTTGGCTGGTGACAAAGGCAAGGACTTTTGGGCTCGAGGTGGCTGAAAATGCTCAGCTGACCGCATTGATCAAGGAAAAGGAGAGACGTTTTCTCGAACCAAAGGCCGCTGACGCCGGAAAAGAGGTGAGCGATTCGAACGCCCCAGTGGTGTTGAAGAGGTTTGCCGCAACGTGTTGCAATGGTTTCCTCCGGGGCTCGAGGTTAAGATGGCTCAGAGATGTGAATCCTGGCAGCCTTGTGATGATTTGTGAAGATACAACCCCCTCCTCGTTGAATTCTATTTTAAGTCGTTTTTGGAGCTCGGCTCACTTCAGCCATTTCTTTTGTGCTAAACCTTGCAAAACAAGATGTCACAGACTATATGGGCACTTGCTGGTGCTACCTGCATCCTGTTCATTCCTTTCTCCGTTTTTCGGGGCTCCAGTGCTGTGGGTCGGAGACAGCTGGGCAAAGCAGCTTTCAGCCAGAAGCTCAGTCGAGATGTGTTCCTCACCCCTCACCGTCACCCTCCCCAGCAAGGGGGGTTTAGGGTGCTGGATTTTGTCGAGAACTCCAGCGGCACAGCGAAATTGAGAGCATGGGATAGGGTGAAAGATGCCAAGTTAATTGGACTTGAAGTCGAAGAAGATTGACATGTTTTGTCAGATATCATGGTGGCATCATCGTCAGTTCATTGGGATTCTGTTGCTGGTCAAAATAGGCTGCACAGGTTTAAAGTTACTTTTGTTTATTAACTACAACATTTGGATTTTCGAGAGTCTCTTTCCCAGCCTTTGTTTCACAGTTCGCTATAGCACAGAGAAGGACAGAAGGACTCACAGCTGCTCAGTGGTTGATCACAGCTGCTCAGTAGAAGCACAGTGGGAACCTGAGGCACCCAGTTGGTTGGGCGTTTCACCATGGCTCCGAAGGCAAGACTGGACTTGGGCGCTTTGAGCTGGGCTGCCAGTCCTGATGTTGTGGGAAGTGTGGGATTTGCTTCTGGGACCAGTCGATTTTGCTGCTTCTTTGCGCAGGAAATCATCAAGAAGATTGGTGAGGTGAACTTCCCAACTTGAGAATTCGCACGTCCAGCATGAGAATTCACGAGAATTCGCCACACCTTTTTTTTGTTTGGTGATTGCACAGCCGTTGTTCGCTGTGCAACTCTCAGGATGGCTTTGACATGGAAGAGTTCAAGGCACAGGTCTACAAGGCTCGTTCGTTCGATCGCCCATCGCCGTTCGTTCGATCTGTGGACCTGCAGACTTCCAGATATGATTGGCTGTGGAATGCTGTGGATAGGTTGACCATTGGCTGTGGAATGTCTATTCTGTTCACCCCGCGGACACACACAGAATGTGCTGCACGTCGCCGAATGCGACTCACAGATCAATTTTCATGCCCTGGTCTTTTTTTTTCATTCTTGGATGATATGCTTGCTCTTGGTGTTCAACCAGGGTGTCCCAGTGTACCCACAGCCTTATGTTCTTCCAAGTGGGCTTTTGTGCTTTTGTGTTATATTTTTTTGAGAAGCGACCGAGCGACGGTGATTGAAAAACCGACCTCGGGTGAATGAAAAGAGAAAGGGGTCCTGGTTTTTCATTGGCGTTCATCCCCTTTTTCCCAAGGTCGGGCTGAAATCAGCATGGACGCGGCCCATTTAGCATCCCCTAACCCGAAATTGTTGAGACCAAGACGTGCTCCACAAAGACTTTGCCCAAATTGTTGGACGGTCTTCACCGAAATCGATCTGGGCTCCGGTCGGGTCACCCGATGACGCGCCGGTTTCGCACTTTTGCTCCGTCCGATTTCGGGCCACGCTTTCGTTTGAGTGTCCAAGCAGTTCTTCCTGTGAAGGAAGGCTGCAAGAAATTGCACATCGTTGATGCTTGGGCCCCGGGAGTGATCGTGCGATCAACCCTGAAGCAGGGAAGAATGATGCAACGCCATTTGCAACGAGGTTTATACCGCTTGGTGTGGTCCCTGCCTGTCAATAGCCAGGGCCCGAGCTCATGATCCTGGGCACCGCGTTCATTGTATTCGAGATGTTCAGAGCAGAGTTTCAGCACAGATACGAGCACAGGTTCCAACCTTCAAGAATCTGCAGGCAATGCGCGTTCAGCTGGATTGCATGTGAATGTCATAATGAATGTATGAAGATTTGAACGTGGATTTCCCACGTTGGTTGCTCAGATGAATATCGACTACTTCGAGGAGACGTTTCTTCTTCTTCGTGTCCGTTCGTATGTCAGTTCGTCCGTGACCTTTTCATGTCAAGAACCGTCGCACGGCGGCCTGGTCATCAGTGACCTGTGGCAGGACCGGTGCACCATCACACAAGCTGAGAGGACGTGTTTGCCCGAGGCGTTGAAGAGGGCGGTGAGAGGGCCCGAGGGCGGTTTTCAGAGGGCGGAGTAGGGGAGAGCCCCATTGGAGTGTGAGTTCCTCCAGACTGCAGACGGCTTACTTTCCGTGTAAGTTCCCCAATTGGGTCAAAGTTCCTTTGACAGACAGATTAACAAATTTCCTTCTCGTCTCAGATGAATGCTTTGTGCTTGTTCAGTTCGAAGAACGATTTCCAGAGACCAGCAAGCCGCGGTTCCTGCAGTGGCCTCAGAACCTTCGAGCGGTTTTTTCCCTGCCGTGGAGGGCATCGCACCGGCCAATTCTGCAGCCTGAGGTTCTACAAGGAGGGAGAGGAGGCAAGTGGAGGATCATGTGGTGCCTAACTTGCGGGCCAAACAGGATTTGTGCAGATCTGTTCAATTATTGGAGACTTGACTACACTATACTGTACTACGCTAATTATACACATTTTTGGGGGATTGTTGCGGGTTCCTGTCTGAATGTGCCTGATGCCTTTCGAACAGAACCATGAAACCTTTGTCTATCCTTATGTGTTCATAAACTCTGCACAGGGTTCATTTCCACCAATATGCTGTTTATGTATTGTTTTAATGATGTGTTCTAGTGTTCCAGCTTTTTTTCCCCATAACCAGTTGATTGGACCTCCAGCCGGCCTCACAGGGTTTTCAGGACTCTCTCTCGGGTTGGCAACGGCCCGGCTGATCCTCAACTGGCCGGCAGGTGATGCAAATCGAAGGGCTGAAAGCACCCGAGATCCTCAAGCCAACGGCTCAGCTTAAGCCGGGCAAGCAACGACCGCTTCGCCAAAGAGAGCCGCTCGCTTAAGCCTTAAGCCGAGCAACGACCCGCTGAAGCTTAAGCCTTAAGCGACGCGGCGGTGATTTTCTTTTCCATTGAAAAAGCACGTTTGGTCGTATGAAACGTCGTAGTTACACCCATCTCCGTTCAAAATATCAGCTAAGCGCAAGTGAGCGCTCAAGCGTCGACGTTCTTCCCCCTCATGGCTGCAATCTCACAAAGAAAGAACACGTCATGGACATGTGCCTAGGTTCATCGAAGAGAACTTGCCTGCCATAGAGACAGAGGAGTAGATCCCGCAGGCGAACTCTCCTATTTGCTGTGAGACGTCCGACTTCGCCATGGCCAGAGGTGGTATGCTGAACAGCAGCAAGGCCATGGTGAGAGATGAAGCAAGGGGAAAGTGTCTTTGATCTTGCTGTATATGTACAAGGCAGATGCAGCCATGGCCAGCCAAGATTCGCAGGAATGGTGCAACAATGAGAGAATGTAAAAGATCAAAGCAGCTTTGAGCAGGTTTCACATGTACTATGTGCATGCGCGGATCTGCACATGTAACAAAGATAGATTTTGCTTAGTCTGGCTTAGTGCTTTGATGACATCATTTTGCTGTTGAAGTTTCTCAATGCGTTTATAATTGGTTTAACATATATATATATTATATATATATATATACTATGCTGTATGCAATAACAAAGTGAGCATATTATTGTATTTTATTGGTTGCATACATTCTCTTGACAATCTTGTGTGTTTTGCATCATAACATTGTGCAAGATCCCATTTGCCCGGTTCAGCGACATTCACCGTTTCGCCGGTGTTCTTGTTTCACCGGAGTAATGCACGGCCTTTCAACTCGCGCTGAAGGCTGAACAAAGCGCACCGAGTCACTCGGGGTTCCTGGCGTGCGTTTGGAGCAGAGGTCGTTTGGGGGTAGATTCCCACTTGACCGTATTCTGCGACGAGTCCGTATTCTGGAACGGCAGGGGAGTGGCAGGACACAGGGATCGCCGTTTTCGCGCTATTTTGAGTGCTCAGAAGTCTCAAAATGGGTGCCATTCCAGTTTCTGGCGCTCTTCAGATGCCACGAAACAACGGGTTGAAAATGAGCAGAGGAAGCTGTCCTTGACCTTGCCAAGTGGCTCAGCCATTTTGGAGATCAGCTCAATAAAGACACGAACCCGGTCAAGGACAGTTTTGAAGTCTTTGTGTGCAAGGATACATGATCCATCATCATAAACATGCTAACAGCAGAACTTGAACTTTATCAGGGATGCTCTCCCAAGCTTAGCCAGCGGTGGTTTGCAGCCAGCTTCTTCTCGTCCTCTCTATTGGCTTGTTGACGTTCATCTTGCCGGAGCTTCTCGAAGATGAGCGCCCCTGATGCGGCGGCTCAGGCCGTGTTGGGGCCGACTCGGACCTGGACCAAAAACGGATAGCCAGGGGCGGTCCGATAGGACGCGCACCAGATGCCGAGTGGATGGGTAGACGCTTTGCTTTCTCCGGATGTGGTGAGTTTGGCGGAGCTGTGCGCGGTGCGTTTCTTGCGAGCTTAGCGTCGTTTGACCCATCCGCAGGGCACACAACCACAGCAGTCCACGGCAAGACCTGCGCTCAGAGTTGTTCAAAGAGTTCAATCAATGTGGCGAAAGAATTGAAGAGTGGAGAGGGCTATTGAAATGCTCTTAGGCAATATGGTGTTTTTCTCCCTTTGTAAACGGTTGGTGAAAGGCCAATGAGAAGCCCAAGGTGAAGGGTCCCTGCACGGCATTCGAGACGAGTTCTTTTAAGCTCTCAGTGCTTTCACAAGGCAGTCAACTTACCAAGAAGCTTCAGAAGGCAGCTGAGATGATCTAAGAAAAAGAAGATGGATGAAGATGGGAGATTTGGTTTTGGCTCAAAAAGTAGAGACGCAGGACACTCCAAAACTGTTCTTCCAATTGCTCCGCATGTGTAAATATTATTTTTGATCATTTTCAGGGTGGGACCAGTAGCCATGCGGATTGACAAAGTATGGACACTGCATTTATGAATATGGATGGGGATTGGGCTCTTTGGTGCACCAACCTCAAGATTGTTTGGAGGGTGGTTCCTTTCAGCTGGCTTTTCATGATTAATAGCTTTTCCCACTGCAACAGAGCTACACAGAAGTGATTGACCTGCAGAATTGTGAGGACTTCTTCCACTATTCTCCCCAAAGAAAATGAGTATAGGGTCTTCCAAATTCTGCTTCACTCATCATCTCTGTTCATTTTGCCATCTTTCGGATCACCCAAATCGGTGTCCAACACTGCTACTACTAGTGAAACATGGGAAAACCACGGTCTTTTGTTCAAGTGTAGGTCAACAACTAGAGGTCCAATGGAACATGACACAAAAAGACTCCAATCTGTATACATCCATGGCTTAAAAGATCTTAATAGCTCGGTCTTTTCCCCCGCATGGCCCGCATTGGCCCCGCATGCTCTACCGTGTTCCTCGTGGCTTTGACCGGAGGCCTTGACGCTGCGCATCGATGCGCAAGCGCGACGCTCCGAGACCGGGCGACCCGTTGGAGCCGTTTTGGGGTGTTAACGAGTTGAAGAGGCACCGGTCGCCGAATTCGACTCGCAAGGTTTGAGATCGTCGAATTGGTGGTTCACACCTCCTGGTGTTTTCCTCCAACATACCGCCATCCACCAATTGGATCCAATGACATCATGTGTGGTTTGGGGGGAGTCTTTGTCAAGGTCCCGCGATGCCTTGAAGTGTCTTTCGGGCTTCTTCACGGAGAACACCGTCCACACCCGGAGGCGAGGCATCACGTGGGACCGACCGTCTGACCGGGGGAGATCTGGACCGATCAGTTGGGGTGGTTGAAAAGGGGTCAATGTATATGGCAGTCCCATGGAGTGTTTGGGCGATATATACACATGTTTATATTGAGTGGTCCAGAAAGGGTGACCAGCTACCATTTTAGTCTATCTATCTATGAAATTATACTATATTTTATTCTATTCTATCCTATTCTATTCTATTCTATCCTATCCTATCCTATCCTATCTATCTATCCTATCTATCCTTCCTATCTATATTCCTATCTTCCTATCTATCTATCGATCGATCGATCGATCTATCGATCTATCGATCTATCGATCTATCTATCTATCTATCTATTTATCTATCTATCTATCTATCTATGGATGCATGCATG